CCTTTCCTCATTTCTTACACGTGGGGATTGAGAGCTCTTGCGCTCTGTGGAAAGCATCCTTAAAGATCTGCCAGGTCTGTTCTGCTCCCATGTGCCTGAGGGCAGTTTCCCAGGGTGTCCTATTGGGTAACTCCCTGAAGAGCTGGAAGTTTGCTCTCCTCAATTCAGGGTCCTGACTTTACTCTTTGCTTGCCCCACTATCCCTCAGGACCGTGACCTCTACCAGTGCATGATCACTGCAGCCCAGGCTGCCTCCAATCTTCACATCACCAGTTAGCTCACATGCATTGGTGACCAATAGGTCCAGTATGGCATCCTCTCTGGTAGGTCTGTCTATCACCTGACTTAAGAAGTTATCCTTCACGCACTCCAGGAGTTTCCTGGATTGCCAACTGCTCTCAGTGCTACTGTTCCAGCAGTTGTCGAGGTGGTTGAAGTCCCCCAGCAGGACGAGAGCCTGTGAGCATGATGCCTCCTGCAGCTGTAGTGAAGGCTTTGTCAATAGACTCACCTTGATCGAGCGGCCTGTGGTAGACACCAACCACTAGGTTCCCTTTGTTGCCTTGGTCCCTGGTTCTTACCCATAAGGTTTTGACCTGCTCTTGTCCATTCCTCAGAGACAACTCTTCACACTCAATCCATTTCTTGATGTAGAGGGCAATGCCTCTGCCCTTCCTTCCTTGCCTGTCCCTTCTGAATAGCCTGTAGGCATCGATAGCCACACTCCAGTCATGGGATTCATCCCACCAAGTTTTGGTAATGGCAACCAGGTTGTAGCTTTCTAGCAGCACGGTGGCTTCCGACTCCTCCTGTTTGTTGCCCATGCTGCATGCAATGGTACATTACCATTTGTTATGAATGCAGGTGTATAGAATTAATTATTAGTTAAGACATTAATGAATTTCCTTAAGCAGAATCACAAAAAAAAAAGGTTGTACATTTCATCCTAGTTCTTTTGCTTTCGGAAAAATCCACGTGGGTCCCACTGCTTTTGCAGGACAGTCTTCATAGCTTTCCAAGTTGCTGAGCATTTCTATGTCTGATGAGTTTTGAAAATTGAGTATTCTTACCTGTGAGACTGAATAGACAACCTGAAATTTCTTGATTTTTGACTGTGATATAGATATTTTAGAGTATATAGTCTTAATGTATAGCATGTGACATATGGCGAGCAATAACCTCTAATATTCAGCTATGGAGAATTACATTTCTTTCACTAGTTTAAATGGGGAAAAGCATTAAGCAGTGGCTCGTGTTTCTATGAGGAAATAGGAAGACTTTCTATATCACTTACAGGGATTAAGGAATTTTATAAAGCAGCAATGTGTATGGTGACTCAGCCTCCCAAAGCTGGGAGGCTGGCTTTCTGTTGACTCTGACTTAATTTTGTTTCCAAGGTTGTCAAGTAGCAATCCTCTTACAGTAAGTAACCATCAGAACAAAAGAAAAGCATTATGAAAATTATAAAGGAATAAAATGCAGGTAAGAAAGGCCTAATTACCAAAGCTGGAATTAGTCCAGGGTCGGAATTAATAATACTGAAATTAGTAAAAAGTTTAATTACCATTAGTACACAGGGCATGAAATTTTACTCCTTTCAGTTGTACCACAGGTCCTTTAATTCTGTACTGGTTCTTTCTGAAATAATGGCAAAGAACAATATAAATCACAGGTGATTTTTTTACAGATTTTTCAGCAATGGACACATGCTAACCCACTTCTTATCAAATTGCATTTAAGTTCATACTTTCCCATGGCCATTCTTCTAGCAAATATTCTATAAGCAGCAGTTTCTGTAGTGGAGTTACTTTGTACTAATTTTTCTCACAAAATCTTAGCAATGCACCATAATTCAGGTTCAAGTACCTTTCTTATTCTAGGGTTGATCTTTTCTTAAATACAGATTGTATATACAAATCACATTCTGGTTTGTTCTTGTTTTTCCTCCCCCCCGAATAGGACAGTTCCAATAGATAACCAATTAATCCCACCAACCTAATTTGTCATGACAATTGGGTCTTAACATAGCTTTTGAGGAAGGCAAAATAATTAAATCACTTTCATTTATCCTCTGAATGTTTTTCCTTCTAATTTTTAAAACAACTTTCTTTTGAATAAGAAATTACAGATATTTTTATGAATGGCAATAATGGAAACACTTTTGTTTAATAAGCAAAAAAACCCTCAGTGTCTTAGAATGTTTTGCTCTTGTAATTGCTATTTTTAGTACAGTTCTATCACATCACTATTTGTACACTTCCTAGCTCTTCTATTATACCGTTATTGTTCTGGGTTTCTATTAAAATGAAACGTGGCATTTGTTTTGTGACTATGCCTACAGTAGAGGAGAATAATGCAAAACTAAGTGCTTTGTAATGCCTATGGGAAGAATGTTTTCCTGAGTAGTTTTTGAAGTGCATGTTGCTGTTCAATTGTTCGTTATCTTCAAATGGCTTGAAAAGCTACAAATAATTTGATATTCCAAGGGCGTTTATATTTACTGCATCAAGTTTTGAAATAGTTACAAATGCTGCTTCCTATGCTTGAATACAGAGATATGCAGCTTCATAACTAATTTCATTTTTCTTGTGAAGTACGTATTCTGTGACCAGTGCTTTTACAGTTTTCATCTGTTTCAATCTCGTACGCTCAAATGAGCTGTTTGGGAAGATTTCTGGAGCTAAAGTTGCAGTGCAGGTTGGTGTCAGTGGTTGGGCTGCACCCCTTCTCTAGCCCCTCCTTGGATCCTGGATGTACTGGCAAGGCAGGGAGGGATTTGTGCTGGCTTCCCTGTGGCCAGCTGCTGCGGCTGGCTCATTCCCAGCGGGGACGTCCATCCTGCTGCATACTGGGGTGCTCTGCCAGGAGGGGAGGGATCGGCAGGCTGCCTCAGCTGGGCATCCCAGGCAGGGGAGCACAGCTGGAGGCTGCCTGCCACTGTGTGCTTCACCTCCTTTCCCCGCGGCCCCTTCTGCAGCCCTGCTGATGTTGGCAGCTTTCCCTCTTGTCATTGCTCTGCCTCTTTTCCTTGCTGCTTCCCAGATTTGCTGAAGTCAGCAGTTGCTGCAACTGCAGATGATCCAAAAGTCAGGTAGAACGTGGTGCAAGGTGACTAACCTTAAGTAGCAATGAACGAAGCTGCTTTCAGCATCCAAAGACAGACTTGCTGAGACCAGACGAGCTGATTGCATGTGATGTCCGATGGTGGTGGGAGCAGATACAGTGAAAAAGATTTGGAGAGAGCAGATAACACTGCAATCAGAAAAAACCCCGACCTGAGAGAGAACTGGGAACGCTTCTGGTGTGATGCGCCATTCTTCTACTGGACTTGCTTTGGAGCAGAGTGTTGGGAGTTTTCCTGCCTTAAATAAAAAATGACAAATGCAAAATTTTTAAAGTTGAGAAAATGGTGACAAGTCATTTCCTCCAAAATGTGTTCGAAATTGCCCAACAGATTTGAAGCTATGAAGGCAATAGACTTATTTCCAGAGGAAAATTAGGAGCAATGTTAAAATAGACATTTCTTTACCACAGGAAGTTTTGAGTGCCAGTCAAGAACCCAGGTCCAGCTGCAGTGTTGTGTATGAAATCTGACCGGGGATCTAGTGTTCCTGATGTAAGGAATTTAAATGAAGAACATTTAAAATCAAAGTTCACAGAGTAAATTTGAGTGGTGTGTGGTAACCTTAAATTTTAGCTGTGTGGCTCTTTGAGTTCTGCAGTAGACTATACCGTTGAACTGAAATAAAACTTTCAGATTTTCTGATTTATTAGCTTGTAAATTAATTGCTTCTTTTTTCATACCTGTATGTGTTCTATTTTTACATTTTCAGAAGTTTATGTACACTGTATTATGCAGATGTTTTCATTGCATCAGCTGGCTATAGTTAAGATACAACTTTTATGTTATACCCACAAACTTGGCATCTGGTCAAACTGAATTACAAAATTACTTTACCCTTTTCTCTGTTTTAAGCTTTACCCTTAAGCCAAAGTCAGTCAACAGAAAGCCTGTCATTGGCACTGCCAAATGAATAACCAGCTTCACTCTAGTTTCACTGTTGGTTGTTTCAACATCTCAATCTTCCCAAGAACATGAAAAAACAGTATTTATTCTGACAGCATTTGTGTGCTTATCTCATTGGGATTGCTAGAGGCAGCTTAGGTGCTAATAAAATTTTAAAAAGGAAATAAAACATTCGAGTATTTTAGTTACTGCCAAAATATCAATGTATTACATGATAAAAAAGTCACAGAGATCCATGAATGGAGCATTATATGACCAGTTAATTTTTTTTTTATCTTACATTTTGAAAAAATAAGGGCTTAAGCAATATTATCTACACTGATATTTTGCATGACAGGTAAACAAACTATCTGGTTTTGGGTTACTTTTGTTCTAGTTTTGTAAACAGTTAAATTTACATATCCTTTACTTTATTCACATGGTTGACAAGGCAGTGAATATACTCCAGCAGTAACTGTGGAAAGCTGAGGAACTCTGTTGATTTCACAGGAATCAGGTACAATACAACAGGGCGTTTGTCAGTGCGAATCAGAACATCAAATGGCTTTGAGTGACTCACTTCAGTGACTCATAGTCCAAACTGACCAAGGGACCCAAACATGGAGTACCACAGTTGTTGTTTTGTACTTTGTCTTATGCACATATTCATATGTGTAGGATTTACACAGCTCATTTTCGTCATTAAAGAAAGCAACAGTTGTGGATGAACTTGGCATGTTTTCTTCTGTCCCAGTGTAGGGGAACAGATGATGTATTGAGATGCTTTTTGTGATTATGCTGGCAAATCTCTCTTTTTCAAGTTTTGTAGAAAGATAGAATAAGAAATTCAGAAGGCAAACTACGGATATCCCTCAGGAAAAAGTGCGTTTAATAGACTGCAATCTTGATAATAATTCTAAAGAAATAGTCCCCAAAATTTTGATAGTTTCAGAAACCTGTTTTTTCCCCTTTTCCTCCAGTATGCTGTTTGGAGATGACAACCAAAAGGAAAATTATCGGCCGCTTGGTGCCCTGCCGGTGTTTTCGTGGTGAAGAAGAAATCGTCTCAGTGTTAGATTACTCTCACTGTGGCCTACAGCAGGTGCCAAAGGAGGTTTTTAACTTTGAACGGACATTAGAGGAGCTTTACCTAGATGCCAATCAAATTGAGGAGCTACCTAAGGTAATCAGTGTTCTGCCTGTAGTACAGATGTCAAAGTTGTGTTCTTAAATGTGTATTCAGCTTGTGTTTCAGCTCTGAAATAGGGCTTGCTCTTGACCAGGAGACCTGCTTGATGTGGGAAGAGTCGTGGCTGTTAACTCTAGAGATTGAATTAGATTTTTACAAAATTTTTTTCTGCCCTCTCTGAAGAGCCCAAACAGCTGAGCCACCCTTCTTGCAGATGATACTACGTGGGGAGGAGTGGGGCCACCTACTTCTTGCTTCATGGCACAAGAACTGGGGGCAGCCAATGAAGTCTTAAGTTGGGGAATTAACAATTGTTCCAAAGAAGTATTTACACGACAAGTAATTAATACGGCATTTGATACCTTGACCAGGAGTACGCTAATATATGGGGTAGGTGATCTCACATTTGGATCCTTTGTAGCACTGCTTTTAAAAGCAGGCTCTTTGTCAGGATAAGCCGTTTGTCCGTGTGAGAGAAATGTCAGTGCTATATAACCAGGATTTTTATAACTGCAAATGAGGTCCTGCAATGAGATTACTTAGGTTATCTTTCCTGTGTAAAACTTCTTTTATAGTATTTTTAAATCTGTTCCTCTGTTGATTAACGTTTACTATAAGGAATTAAAAGTTACTGTAACTTAAGTGTTCTGGAAACAAAAGAGGGCAAGGTAGTGGAAAAACCAATTAATAGTAGGTGCTAGCTACATAATGAAGCATGAAGTAATGTAATCCATTCCTTAATTGAATTTTTCTGAACAATAATGAAAGATGCTTACGAGTCTTTAATTAAACATTGTTCCACTGTAATCCATTCTTCATCATCTCTCAACATATTTCTTACTTAGACTGCACAGAGACTTTATGAAAATTCTATTTACAAATGTAGAAAACGTACTTTTCCCATTATATGGGGTTCCTTTATTAGGATATGACGGTTCATTGCTTAAGATTGCTCCCTCCATCAAGAAATTCTTTACAGATGGTAAGACAGGGTAGCTACAATCTTTTAAGTGTCACAGAAAAATTATATGGAGAACCGCCTTATCTCTCCTGCTACCAGAAAGGACAGCAGAGAACCAGATATTTTTTCTGCCCCTATAAATATGAAATGGATTGTGGTGGAGGCCATTTTACTGCTAATGAATACCTTCAGGACTATTTCTCTTTTAATAATAATATATTATTAACCTTGTATATTTTAATTATGCTGCCGAAGCATCATACCGAGGAATATATAAAGTGTGTAATTCAGCTAGGGATTTTTGGTATATTTTTTGGGGGGCTCTTGAAAGTGTGCATCACTGTGGTATTCAAACTAAATTGCAGTGCATAATGGAAGACAAGTACATCAGAGCATAGAACAGGAGCAATATGCCATAATTCTATATGGAAAAACTGAGAGCCAAAGGTAAGGGGTCCAAAAATAGGAAACTGGGATGAAGGTGATAGTTGTTAGTGTCAGTCACAATTGAAATGTGCATGCTCATGAAACCTTTGCATTGTGTTGTGGTATCACCTATTTTGTATTTGTTATTTATGAAACAAAACACTGGATAAGTACATACCTTGGAGAGATTTAAATGTATAGGACTCTATTTTTGCATCTGTGTTTTTTCTTATTTTTCTTTGTTATAGATAGTATTTTGAAGCAAATACTATGTATTGAAGAAATCCTTTTAATTGGTCTTAAGTTTGAGTAAATGCATCGTTTAACATAGTCTTGGCCTTGTATAAGAGAAGATTAATGGCAGTGTTAATTTGCTTTCTTTATACCATTCATAATGTTTTGTCTTAAGTCTTTATTAATTGTTACCATAAATTAAACAGTTAATTTCTTTATCAAATTTTCTGCTTCAAATAGTTTTTGCTGCATGTCTCTGATTTTTTTTCACTATTGAATTAATATGCTAGGAGAGAAAATGCCATTTTTTTCTTAAGATGGCACTATATTACATAACATTAACTTTTGTATTGCATGTTATGGTCTACCTTAGGCAGAACTTTCCCCTCTCTGTAAATATGAATTCAAATAACTTCTTCCAGAGGAAATTTTATTTTGTCAGTTTTCTGTTATTTACCAAATATTATTTGCCTCTGAAGTTACAATATTTTTTTGAGATTTTCTATCACCAGATGCTTGATCATATTTTAAAATTTAATGAAAAAAAGTCCTTATCTACCTTAGTTACTTTCATTACTACGTGATACTCTAGAAACCAATAAATCCTTTTGCATTAGACTGACTACTTGATTTACATTAGACTCATTCTGGTTGCTTTGTTTGTTTGTGTTTTGTTTTTGTGGTGGTTTTTTTGGGTTTGGTGTTTTTTTTTGTTTTGTTTTGTTTTTTTTTAGTTTTTACCTCACATGTATCAGAATTATGCTTTTTTTCTGCTGGCTTCATTAGAAATTGATTTCTAATTCCTAATTTCTAATATTTTGCTTTTCTTTTAAGGATTTATAGGATTGTTCTTTAATTCTTATCCTCTATTTTCCTCTAAATCTAGCCAAATCTTTTATTTTATTTGCCTTTGACTTCATTATCATGAGCTGCTGCTGCAAATATATCCTTGTTGGTATGAGTCAGATGAATCAAAGACTACTAAAAAAGGACACCAATTTTGATGAAGGTGGAGTCACTAGCAGTCAGTATCCAGAAAAACATGAATGAGATGAAAATTCTCCCCAGCAGTTTTCCCTTATAAATATAAAGTAAAATCTGGACTAATTTGTAATCGACAAAATTAGTTTACTTGTTAATGCCATAGAAAAAATTTGTCTGTCTCTAACAACAAATTCTAGAAGTAGTCAGCCATCTGTGTTTTGCCATCTCACATATTGGTAAAGTAGATACAAGTAATGCTAAATATGCTACTGAAGTTAGAGGCTACATCTTAATGCTTAATTGTCTCACTGAGAACAAACAATGCAACCAATATATAAAAGGTGTTGAGGTAATCACTAATGTATAGCTCACATAGATGGGTAGGTATTATAAATTAACTATATTTTTCTTTTGCATCGTGTTTGCTATGTAAGTTACAGTTTCTATTAAAGGCATTGAATCCTTTTTCTAAGGAATCATGTTTCTGTTCTGCAAAGTTAGAAAGTGTTATTTCTTTGTAATACTGACATCAAATTCCCCCAATATGTTAGTCAATCTATTTCACAGTTGTGCCTATGGAAAGTAAAGAGCAGAAATTTCATATTCTTCTCTAGTGGCCGTGGAAGCCAACAACCTCTATTGCTGTCTAGTCAAGAACCTGAAATATGCAGAATAATAGGCCATTGTTATAACTCAAATCACAGCACTATTAGCACCACTTGGTTTCCAGTCTGAAAGGAATAAAAGTAGTATATGGAAATACAGTATGGTGATTACAACGAAATCATGATGGCAAGGCCATAAAGCACTAGAAATTGAGAAAGACACCTTTTGAAATTCCAGTGGGTAAAAAAAAGTGGGCAATTTTGGGCCTCCATACCTCTATTCATACTCTTACATTATTTGAGATACAACAGCACATCATAAAATTACTCTAGAGGGAATATTTTTTACTACGCTTCTGCATTCACCGTTTCAGAAGCCTGTTAAGTTATTGTCAGAACTTTAAGTTGCGAGCCTTCCTTGGCTTTTAAAAAAAGAATTCTTCAGGGGAATGGCTGGGAACATGCACTAAGAATTTCATTTTCCAGGTACAATAGCATGGTATAGTTTGTATATGTACCAAAATTCTGCAGGTTCCCTATGCCAAACATTACTAATGTCTACAGCTTGTTCTCATGCAGTAGTGTGGCTAGAAATTTCAAGAGCAAACCCCAGAGCCTGTTAATTACATTACTTCCCAGGCTTGTCTAAAATGATGTGCTTCCTTAAAAAAGAGAAAAAGTAGGTGCCCTCAGATGCATTGGAAGGGAATTCCTTGTTCTCTGGAGGGGTACCTCCCTTTATTAACATTGTCTGCAGGCAGAAATGTGTTACTCGGTTTGGCTTCCAGGGCGCACAGTAACTGTGGCTGTTGCTATACACGGCCCCAGCACGGGAACGGTTCTCCGTGTTACGGCTGCGGGGCAGCGGGGCTGCAGCAGTGCATTGTGCTTCTCTGCCTGCTGCTGGCATTAGCTGGTGGGCGGTGGGGAGGAGGCTGTTGTACAACCTTGAGAATTAACAGGTACGTTTCATGTGAGAGGAAATACAAAAAAAACTGTCAATACAAAGGCATTCTGAAAAGTGTCTTTCAGTAAAAAGACCCTTTCGTATTCGGTGCCAATTGACAGTGATTGTGGTGCGGTGCTTCTCATTCTGAGCACTTCTATTCATGTAAAATATGAATAAAAGTTTTTCCTGTCAGTTTTCTGAGAGTAGATTATGTTGAAGGAAAAGCAGGATTTTTCTAAAGGATTATGATAGCAAGTTGCAGCAGAAAAATGCAGTTTCAAAATTATCTAGAATTTACTTAAAGGAAAGTACGAGGTTGGCATTTGCATGCCACTTGTGTGTTAATTTTCTCCTCTTCAGATACTGGGCTGAGTTTTTCATCTAGGCAATCAAATTATTATGCATTCTCAAATACCTGCAGATGAGTATATAGACTTTATTCCGATATAGAAGTCTGAAGAAAGACTAAATCTGGTGTAAACATAGCAGTAATATTTGAAGAACCCTTGTGAGATGCCTGCAAAGAGAAGTTGTTCTTCTGTGGAACCCACTGAATTTTCTGGTGCCATTTGGTGAATTAATATTTGCAGAAAGTCCTACGGGGTTTAGTAACTTGTAACTCTTGACAGGACCGATGCCTTCGGAGCCTGCAGTCATGAAGCAGGTAATGTTAAGCAGGTCTTGCCTGCAGTCCAGTGTGATGGGTAGCGCAGGAGGGACTGGTGCCAGGACTGCGAGGCCAGCTGCAAGGCGCTGTGCTGGCTGCGCAAACCAGGCTTCATACCACCAAGGCGGGTAGCCAGGCACGACCCTTCCCTGTTACTCTTCACAGTCGGTTTTCCACAGTACTGTTGCTGAGGAATGTGGAGCATGGCAATAAATAAGCCAAGCAATTATATTGCATTCTCCTCTTATACCTGCTAGCACGCTGGGCTTGAAGAAGCTATAAGCTAGCTATCTACAAAATGCACCTGCTTGTTCTTCAATCTATGGCACCTGTAACCTTGCAAAAGCAATGCACCGAAATCTGAAATAGTTTTTCATGACTGCTTTCTCTTAGTATGATTGTTTTATTTTTACATGTGTGAGGCGGTGTATGAGTTAGTGATATTTCTTGAGGAAAGCAGTGATGTTAAATAGGTGATTTCAACATGATTTATGAAAGGAAGATTGTTTTTGCAGTGGAAGTTCTGACATTTTATAAAATTTGAATTTGAATTAAAAATTGGAATCAAGTCCTGAATTGGGGGGGGACTTAAGGAACATATCATTTTGATAATGTCAGAGTGTTTTGTTTCTTGAAGATAGCAAAATTCTTCTACAAGCAGTCAAACTATTTTAAAATCTATCATGAAATTAAATTATAAAATCAAATATTTTAATTTGCCACAAGCCACAAAAAATTTCATTTGATATGACACAAAATATCATGTACCTACAAAACGTTGATTGCAATGAATGTGCAGTTTTTGACAGAAAGCTCTTTTTGAACATTCCTGCTACCAATCAATTGTTCTGATTATTCTTGTCAACTGTGTGTAAGCTGTGTTTATAATACTGAGCAGCCTGTAAGAATGTCTTCTCAAATAATGGCTTTTCAAAATATTTTTTGGTTATTGAATTCTTACGTAGCAAATGTCGTTTTGTGGTATTTGTTGCTTTTGTGTATAATGATCCCAAACTGATATTTTTCCTGAAACACTGTAAAGTCTCTTTTTTATGTTGCAGCAACTGTTCAACTGTCAAGCTTTACGCAAACTGAGTATACCAGACAATGACCTTTCAAGTCTGCCAACCACTATTGCTAGCTTAGTTAATCTCAAAGAACTTGATATCAGTAAAAATGGTAAGAAATCAAAAGTATAAGTATTTTAAAGAATTATAATGAATACGAACAATAATAAATTTTTAATTCCTAATGATTAACAAACTTGTGTTCTAGAAAACTTGCTCTTTTTCTAGATTATATACTGTTTTCCTGTCTAACACTTTTGAGAAGTCTGGGTAGATACCTACCTCGTTTACTTTTCTGTAAAAAAAAAAAAAAAAAGAAAAAAAGAGGTTGCTTTAGCACGGTATGCTGTGACGACTTGTGTCCGATAAACATTCGAGAAACCATTTATCAGTGCACTTATGAACCATTCCGCTTCCAAGAGTGGCTTAGTACTTACTGGGCTCTTGTGTAATGCTTTTAAGCATATAAGGCTGCAGGTAAACTACTCTCAGGATCTATATAGCCAGTGACTAATTTGCTGATGTGCATTTCCAAATTATGCTTTTACATACTTATGTGCCTAAAATGCATATCTGAACCTTAAGTGTCTTTGTTTTGAAAATATAGCTTAGGCACTCTTGAAAATTTTGACAAATTTCTTATCAGTGTAGGTTTAGAGACTCTCAGGATTGTATGTATGTTCTCCTGAGAAGAGAGGGAGCCAAAGAAGAAAAAGATAAGCAGTTTAGAAAGAAATGAAAAGCACAAATATCAGTATAAATGATGTCACTATTTAACTCTAGAAGGTTATATAAATCAAGCATTAACATAATAGTTTTAGTACAAGGCATATTATCTGTTCTGGTGTATTTATTTAGTGCTTTAGTATCATCTTTTAGACTACAATACTAAAATATATGTCTTCTTCCTGTTATAAATTGTCTGATCTGAAAATGCCAAATTAACTCATTTATGAAGAAAACAAGTTAAACATTTTTTAATGTGTATATAATAATTCTTTAAATTTTTTTTTAGGAATTCAAGATTTTCCAGAAAATATTAAATGTTGTAAGTGTTTAACAATTATTGAAGCCAGTGTCAATCCAGTCTCTAAGTGAGTATCAGTAGCTTGTGTTTGTATAATGCAAGTGCAGAAAATTTACACAAAGTGAACTAAAATTTAAAGGCATTGTATCACATTCTTTTGCAGCATTAATCTAAAAGTCTTTTTAATTGTTTTAAATCCGGGGTTGATGTATCTATGAAAAGATCTGTGTACTATGTAACAAATGTGGTGTCTTTCCACATAGTAAAGAAAGTGTTGGCAAAGCAATCCGTAAGCTGCAACCTTTTAAACATGGGGGCTGGTGCCTTATGTATTTGGGAAGTAAGCCATGCTGCATCCACAGACACTGTAACCTCTTGGTTGGGACCTTGGAAACCCGTATACCTTCCAAAAACTTGCAATAATAGTAACAAAAAATCCGTGTTGTAATACCATGATTTATAAAATGGAGTGAAGAAGATGAAAGGATGAAATTTCCCTATTTCAGTTTAAAAAAAAAAAAAAAGATTGAAGGCAAGCACGCACCTTTAGCTTAAAACCCTCAGCTAGAAAGGGGGGAAGGGCTGATGTAGCTTGAATGTGCCAGGCATTTACATTTCATGTGGTTATAGGAATGCGGAAAAGATGAGAACGGGCAAAAATGTTGTCTGTAACAAGTAATTTCGTGAGAATTTGGGTAGAAAAAGAAGGTGAGAAAGTAATCTTTCTCTTTCTAAATATACGTTGTTATTATTTCCATAGCAACTTTGGTGTGAGCATTAAGCTTTTAACTGTTTTTTTAGGCTGCCAGATGGCTTCACACAACTTCTAAATTTGACCCAGCTCTATCTAAATGATGCCTTTTTGGAGTTTCTTCCAGCTAACTTTGGAAGGTAAGAATTAGTCATCAAAGCACATTGCTCTTTCATATGAACTCAGTTTAGGCTTTAAGGGGACATTTTAAAGCTGTATTATTTTTAAAAACAAAACAAAGCAAAATAAAAAACCAAAGAGATTTTGGCTTTTCAGTCCTATTTTGATGAATGATTGTTGTTAGAGAGAATGTTATGTCAGCAAGAATTTTATGATGAAGTGATGCAGTTTGGTTGTTTGGGGAAAAGGTGAGAAGAAATAGAACTTGAAGAGGCCTGTCCTTGATCAAATGTGTTATTAAATTGTGGCAAGGGCAGAAGATAACAATGTGGTCTATGCCTATTGAAAAGTGAACAGGAAGAAAAAGTATTTTGAGTCAGAAGGGAAGAAAGGAATGACTGAGTGTGGTGGAGTAACCAAAGGAAAAATGTGAAAGCCAGAACAAGAGAGAAGACTCAGAAGACAACAGAGCAGAAAGGATGTAGAATGAGAGAAAAAATAAATGCAGTAGAAACTGAGACAAAAAGTGTTCAATAAGGACAAAGCAGAGGGGGAGGAAAATCAAAGTTAACATAATTTGCTGTGGCTCTTTAAGAGGGCAGTAGAAGCCCGTGGATCCTTACACTGCACAGGTCTGACAGAAATACCAAGTTTATTTCACCTCTGTTACACTGGTGAGGGAGTGGTCAGCCTTTCTGCCCTCAGGTCATCCAGTTGGGCAAATAGCTTAGAAGACAAAGGATTAACAGAGAAAGTAGATGGTGTTTTTACAGAATTCACCTAGTATTAGTTTCCTCCTAGTCCATCCAGCTACCTGTATTTGTTTTTTATTGTTCAACTGGGAGCATCAGCTCAGCACTCCAGAGTTAATACTGAGGTGACATAATTTGTGTTGGAAATGACACTGGTATGCTCAGGCATTGAGAAAGTGCTGCTTTATCAGCATTTGCTTGATGAGCCTGTCACTGACCCAGGGCTGAGTCTGGGCTTTACGCTGGAACACCGTTTAGAAAATCCTAGTTGAAGAAAGAGGAAGAAAAATTGTCATTTGAAGCACGTTTGGAATACCAGAATAAATCCTAAGACAGCCTGCTTCTGCAGTTTGGAATCAGACATTATGTTCAAATGTCAACAAAAAATAAATATATGAAATACCTGGCAATTTATCAGATGTGTAGTGTTCTAAAGTGTTTCTAAAGCCTTGCTGGTACTTTGTCTAATAATCTTTGTTGCTTAAGGACATGCCGTTATTCTAAATCTTTTAGTAGAAAGCGCTAAATTTTTTTTTTTCTTTTACAAATGCATATTTTGTCTAAATAAAATGACTCTAATTCCAGTTGTGGTTATTATTCCTTTAATATTATTCGCCTCCTATATTCTCTGTTTGGTGTCTTGCATTTACAAATCCTTGTCATGTTTTCAAAGCTTCCCACATTAGCATACAGACATAGCTATTTTTTTTTACTAGCTACATGTAGCTCTTTAACTGTATCTCCCTTACTGCTCTTCTCCAAATTTTAGTGCTTTGTTTGTATCTTCTGGTACAGTAACATTTAGTTAGTCTGTTATAGTCTTGTTTAGCCATGTGAATGAAGTCAGGAGCGGAGTTTACCTACACATCATGAAAACATCTCTCCACATTTCTCATTTAAAGTTGTTCTTTTTAGTCCTGGTTAAGCACAACTGTAGGACTTGAAAGGTTTTCTGCTTTATTTGGTAGGAAAAAGATAAGAACATCATTTTATAGAAGAGCATAATATAGGGAAGCCTGAGGTTCCATGAAATAGATAACTGGTGTGCTGGACAAAGCTATTTAAAGTTTTGTTGTATTTTTTTTAAACTTTTCTCACAGACACATGTTTACACTTGTGGTACCAAAGGACCTGGACTGTAGAGGTAGAGTAATGTGAAAAGCAGTATTAATGACATTGTTGAAACTCGCCATAAAGTACCTTAATAAACTTTCTTCACATTTAGAAACTATATTATCAGCCTAAAAGCTTTAATAGTATGACTCTGGGCTGACACCTCTGTTTAGAAGATGATACAATTACAAATTAGTTATGCAGGACCGCTCAGTTTCACATGGGTCTTGAGCAGTCCTGGGCATGGTCAACTCATGCATTGAATGCACCTCCAAAAAATTGTTGATTTGATACTCCAGATTTTCTGTGAGAGGAGTTGTACAATTTGAGATGAAGAAGTAAGGATCTCATTCATCCTTGTGGTTTTCTATCCTCTTCCTTTTCGTCCCCACGTGGATGATAACTGCGGATTAAAGAAGCAGCAAAAGGGTGACATGAATCAAAATCCTTTCATGTTTATCAGATTATCTTCCTAGACAATATGGGTAATTAGACCAAAATTCTGAAACTCTAATACATCGGGTTCTTCATCTCCTACCTGATGTGTCCTCCTTCCTTCCCATTATTCTGCATCATTAAAATTATTCCTGTGGCTTAAAGAATATTGCCAGTTGGAGTTTTCACAATGATATGCAATTGTGAAGTACTGTTGTGTATAGGTTCTAATTCATGCCAACACTTAGGCACATGTCCTACTTCTGTTTAAAATGAAGTAAATTCAATGGAGATCTGTTCTGTAGTATTCATCTGCCTGGGTGACTCTAGAATTCAGTGCTGAAAAAATGCAAATGAAAATTGTGAACTAACTAGCAGTTGCTTTTTATCCTTTAACAGATCTGGCAATGTGTGAGAGAAATTAACTTTAACGATGTTTTCCTTGTTTTAAATAATTAAAATTATAAATATATAATATTTAAATACCTAATTGTAAGAGTAGTTTTGAATTACTGTGAAAAACAGATATATGTCAAGTTTTTTTCAGAAGAGTCCAGATAAGGACAAACAGGTCCTTATCTGGAGCTGTCTGTCCTTACATGAAGCTATTTGGTTCTCAATACATTTTGTATCCTATTCAGCCCCACAACAGCTGGACATCTTACTATTGTTCATTGACACTTTGGACTCTTTTTTTTGTTGAAATAAGTAGTTTCAAATCATTCTTAGGGATTCCTGAACCAATTCATTGAATGAACTAATTATTTTCTATCATGCTTCTAGACTTGTCAAGTTGCGAATTTTGGAGTTAAGAGAAAATCACTTGAAAACTCTCCCAAAGTAAGTGATTGAATATTTACATAAGCCGCTTTCACCTGAAATTTCCAAAAGTGCAAAATATTTTTATCGTTAGCAATGCAATGGTGTCATTTCTGTTAAGAGTTACTTTTTCCGTGGGTTAAGGGAATTCTACTGAAGATTTTTAACTAAAAGCGAACATATAGTGGAAAGTGGAGGCTGGTACATTAGCTGACTGTAGTTCAACATCCAAATTCTATAACGTGACATTTTAAAATATAAGATATAAACAAAATTGGAAAACAGCGTATGAGATAACCCTAGTCAGTGATTATGTGACAGTATTGTCATCAAGAAGTAATCTGATGTATTGAAAACATACTCAATGTAACCTCAGTAGAACAATCTCCCCATATGATCTGTACAGAAGTTAAATGTATTTGGTGGTTTACAATACTGTTTAGAAACCTGTATCATCAGAGTATTGAAGAATTGTCAGTTTGGTAGTGTTTCTTGGTACGATTTACCAAAAAAGTAAGTTGCTATAATTTGTTGCTATAATTTGACCATCATTTAAAGGATATTTTGAAAAGAAACAGTATATAAATTAAAAAGAAATCTACACATATCCCATGCTAAACATAGGAAGTTGCACTGCATAAAGCAAGGAATATGGTTTTGTATTCAGACCAGCATTATATAATTGTTTCCTGAAACAGGGATCCTAACCAATAAAAAAATACCTGTGGGTTTGGGGATTGTTAGAAACGGGGATTGTATGTCCCCCTTTTAAGTGATACTTACAGTGGTCTTAATACACAGCATTTATGAAACACTGCTAATACTGAACTGCATATTATTGAGCTCATTTTAAAAGGGCACCCTTTTTAGCAAGCATGCATTTATCAAAATCTACACAGACTTTTTGCCTATAATGGGCAATAGTGACATTTTCACTACTTCCTGTGGGCTTTTATCCATAGCACTTTCCTTTTTTTAAGGAAAGCTTTTTTCTGTGTTAAAGGCAATATTCTTTATATCAGTGGAAAAAACTTTTTTGTACAAACTTACTATTTCCTCTGTTCTGAGTTACATTTACTATTTTGAAAAACAAACAAACAAAAAGCTTCCATCCCCTACCGAAGTGTTTATCTGCATTTAAAAAATGAGACCTATTCAGAACAGCAGATTTGCAACCTTTCAGGTCTTTATCATATGAAAGGCTATACATGTGCTGTAGTATGTATGTGTTATCTAGACTACCTCTGAAACATCAGTCTCTTTTAGAAAGGAATTGCATAGTCTTTGCATGCAGAAGATGTTTCTTGGGATAAATGGATGTGTGTGTGCTAGGATTGAAGAATTAAAATTCCACAACAGAATCATTTTTATCAAACAGAATATTTTTATATTTCTGGTCTAATTCTAATCCCACTCAAGATGAGAACAGATGTATTACTGAATTCCGTGGGAGCAGGATTGGGATTGTGTGTCATTGTTACTGGTAAAAATAATATTTTTTTTTTCTGTGATACATGGTGTTTAACAGGCAAATTTTGTCAAGTTTGGCAAGCATTCGGAAGATTCATACCTAAGCGTAGTGGCCTCTGGTTTCAGTAGCACTAAGTTTGTTAAGGTGGCTGAGCGCGGCTTTTCCCACTGTATGATTCTGAAAGTAAGGAAGTTCTTTCATTCTTGTAACCAAGGGAGACATTATTTGTAGGCATGTTTGTTCTCTGCTCTTTGCTATGGCAGAAGGCTTTGCTATATCCTGCTGAGACGAACTGGAAGGAAAAGGTTTTGCTTATGCAAATGCTGTTCTTAAAACTGATAGATAAAAGGGACAACTGTATCATGAAATTAAGAGGAAGAAAGTTGACAAGGCCATTTTTGCATCAACTGGGACAAAAATGGGGGATCTATCCATTTCTGGGCTTCTTTTATCCTCTAGAGCAGTTTTCTCTGCGAGCAAAAAAAGGTGCACAGTGTAATGGATAGAGAGGAGTTAACACATATTACAGAGTGTTAATTTAGAGGATGTATGTCCTGCTTCTCAGTTAGGGTGACTTTGGCCTCTTTTACAAAAAGAGAGTAGTTACTCACCTAAAGCAGCATCTCTCTGCGTACTGGAGTGGGCCTGGGAAGATCAGGGCTGAGCGTGGGAGGAGGAGAGTGGTGAGGCCATGGGCGAATGCAGACACGGTGATGTGGCAGGAAGAGCTAAAGCAGTATCGGTATGTCGTTTCGACTTCACAGGGCTTTCCCTGTAAGAGGAGAACGTTAAACATCAGCCTGTTTTACTTTCTCAGCCAATAAGAGAAGGAAAATTATGACATGAAAACTGTGTCTACAATAGAACCATCTGCAGTTAGGAAAAGAAATGAAGTGATATAAGTCAGAATATATTTTACAATTTAGTTGCAAAAAAGGTGATGCAGGTCTTTCAGATATATACGGAAAGTCTGTCTTTTACAATATACAATGTATTAGATATATTATGAATAAGATAACATATTATGTTGGTAGTTTGTCCAGCAGCTCTAATGTAAGAAAAGACACCAAAAGGAAGGCAAATAAATAATTTTAATTTTGTAATTTGGCTTTTAAAGAGATGTGACGTGTACTGTAAGACTGTTTTAAGTAACTTGTGCTCAGTACTATTATCATGTCAAGTGCATCTTAAAAGATGTTACCAAAAAGCAGATCATATTCTTTCATCTGTTTTGTGCTGTAAAATATATGAATAAAGAATTTTTAAAGGAAACATTTAGCATTTTGGCATAAACAGGAATTAAATGTGCTTTGTGTTTACCATAGCTCTAATTTTGCTGTCTTTCATACTAACTCAAGTCAAGATTGTTTTAAAACGTACCCATAGTAACTGAATGCAAAATGTTCTAAAATTATTTACAAAAATATCAGATTAAGTAAATACTAACTATAGTTGGCTGAAAGGTAGCTCTCTAACCAGATCACAGATCTCCAAAGTGTCCCTCTTTAATGCAAACATCTTTGCATTAAAAAATGAAAGCTTCCCTTTGTTGAATTTGTTGACATAATTTTATGGCATCTAAAACATGTCCAAAGATATCACTGTATTCCCAGACACTTTCCTAATAGAAAATCAGTGAAACATTGTTCATAAAATACTTTGAAGATTCTTCTGATTTCTTTTGACAAGCATACCAAACATTTAAAATAACACTGTCTTGCTGTATCATACTGGGCTGGAGACACACATTGAAAATGTTGCAGGATGTCCCTATTTTCTGTCAGCAGTACTTTCTCATCAGAAAATGCTACTAGACTTACAAATATTTTTAACATACAAAATATTTGTATGTTTAATCTATAGTTCTTCACAATACCATTTTATAAAATCAGTAATTTATTTTCTCTCTTACATGATTTGATTAAAGATTATTATTGACACCAGTTTCCAAGAACAGGAAATATTTAGGAATATTTTGACATTTCTGTCCAATATTGTAAATAATTTTTAATATTTCAGTAAAGTTTCAATTTGTGCAGCAAAATTAGAAAAATCTGCTTTTTTCTCTTGAATTTCTGTTAAATGTTTCAAAGCATTTGTGACATTCTGACCAAGTTTCTTATGTTTGAACAGTGTTACCACATAAATCACAGGGTTATCTTTTGGCTTGAAGAACCAAGTAAGATAATTTTTATTATTCTGCTTGGATAAAAGTGTACTTTATCTTTACTCGCTCTAACAACATGTAATATTACTGTATAATAGCTTGGGATGGTGTTTTATAGACTGCAGCTCCCGATAGCTCCGTAGCATTCTCTTCTGTGATACTACCCAACTGAATATGTATTTGAAGCTATAGGCGAGGCTTTCCAATGGCCAGTGATGTTTTTGGTCATTTTGCACCCAAAATGAAGCAATTAAAATCAGTGGACAGATTCCTGTTAGCTTCAATGGGTTTTAAATGGGGCGGTTTGTACTTCACTGTTTAATTATTCTGTGTTTGAGTAATTTCTCAGAGCAGAGAGATGCAATTCCCGGCTTTCTATATTCAACCTGGATGGGAAGGCACGGGGACAGAGGTGGCTGTAAAGGAGGAACCACTTAGCGAGCTGTGGTAGGAGACTGACAGTCCCACAGGTCCCATCAAGGACCCATCTTGCCCTCAGTCCTGCTGGTGGCAGTGATCAACTCTTATGGCAGGATCCGGGTAACTTGGTGACTGCAAACCTCTTTTCATTAACATCCTTCTCTGTGTCGTTTATAAACAAACTAACCAGCATGAGCCCCAGCCTGGAGCCTGGCTATTGGCAGCTCCTCCTGCTCTACCCACTCATTTAAAATTGGTATTTTTTCCAGTCTTTGGTCATTTATTTATCCATGTGAAGACCATCTCTGGTCACATAGCTGTTTAGGTTGAGAACTTTCAGTGAAGAACCTTTGTACATAACTCTTGGAAATGAGGGTACACTTTATTGTCCAGCTCTTTTGTACTCTTGACTCTTTCAAAAGACTCCAGAAGTATTTTGAGTCATCCCTACTCATCACAAAAACTGCTGAATTTCCCCAGTGTGTCATATTTCTCTGTGTAACCCTGAATTGTTTAAAAGAGTTTCAGTTAATTTGTCTGGTACAGTTGTCAAAGTCACTGGTTTGTAGTTTCCTAGGCTTATCCTGAAATGATTTAAAAATTGCTGTGACATAAGTTACACACTTCCCAGTCACCTAGCGCTGAAGCACTGTGTGAGAGGTACATGCATGTTGTCAGAGCTCTTAACTGTGGGGAAGCATTGCAGCATGAGAGCCTGCCCAAACTCTGAAGACAAATGCAGAAAATTAATTTATTTTTTTCTGAACTTCTTTTTTCCTGAGCATTCTTTTTATATCTTTTCCATAGACTCTGGCAGGCTTCCTGCTCCTGAGGGGCCTGAAGAAAGATTTATCATTACTTTTCATGCCTTTTTTTCTAATATTTCTGAAGATATTTTCTGGCCTTTTATAGTTAACCATTCTGTTCTATTTTCCTTATTTGGACATGTTTTCATCCTTTTAA